ATTCAACTGTAGCTCTTCCCCTGTTCTGAAAAGTCTCACTTTATTTTCCTAACTAGCTAGAGTGGTCTGATGGCAGGCAAAGGCACATGGATGCAACATCTTACTAGCATGCAAAACTCAACATCACAAGCAGTTATTTTCAGTTTATTTTGCTCAGATAAAAACAGAACTATAAAATGTTTGGTACATTTTATTTAGCGACACACAAGGAAGAATATAAACTTCCACATGTTAAACTTGCCACAAAACAGCTGGAGAATCACCCCACTCCCTCCCCCTAAAATTACATATCCAAAGTGGTACTTTTCTGTGGAAAATTTGTACCGGAGAGCTTGCGGTACACCAGTTTATACTGCTGCTTCTTGGTAATCTGTGTGGTATGAGAAAGTCACAAAGTGCTCCAAGTTTTACTCTGTAGTAGCTGTAACTTCCTAAACATGTTCTTGTGATTTCCCCAACATGTGTGTTCCACTTAAATGCACAGCACCCAAAATAGATGGATATCACATATCTATATAGTCAGGATTCAAGTCCATTCAAGACAACTGTATCAACAGGTCACAAATTAGGATGTATGATGGACAAGATAAAATACACAGTATAAGCTAAACATGCAGAGCACCCTTCTCAACGCTAGGTGTCGATTCTGTGGGTCACCCCCCACTACGCTTTAGCCCAACAGAACTTAATGTTAGCATCACTGACCAAACCCAAATCACAATTTTAATTAACAAATGCAGATACAGCTTCCGTCATGCTAGCACTACATCAGCTCTCCTCTCAGTCACTACCAGCTTTAAAGTGTGTTTTTATAAGCCTTTAAGGCATATAAAATAATATATGCTTAGAGTAAAAGAAGTGCTATGATTTACTTCTACCAGCAAAATCTCTCTTCACCCCCATTTGCTGTTCCCTTCCTTTTCACTCTCTCTCCATATCCCTCTGTCACTGGAGTGGACCTATATAATCTTCTATTACCTAATGAATTTTGATCACTTCCATGCTGCATTCATTTGCAGCCCCTTCTTCATCCTGACACCAAAACCTTTAGGAAACAAATGCAGGAAGATGAAAAAAGCCAACAAAATTTAGGACTCTAATGGGGAATATAGAGGACCTCACCTCTATTTCAAATTGGCCATAAATTCATTCACCCAGATCATGTCTGGCTGATAGCGATTTCTTTCAGAGACTGTTTAATTTCAGTTCTCTTCACTCATTTTATCCTATGGATCATAAGATTTTTTGCAGTAATCCTTTCCAAAGGATTCCAAAGATAAGGCTGAAGGTGTATTCAGGAAAAAAAAATATTCTAATCAGTAACTTTTTACAAAATAATCTTCACAGACCCTCAGTGAGGTAGGCATGTACTATCTCCCATTTTTACATACAGGGAACTGAGGCACAGAGAATTGACTTTCCTGTGGCTAGAGTAAATCAGTGACACAGGAAAAACTGCAGTTAGTTCCTGCCTTTTGACCTTATGATCAATTCATTAGACCAGGCTGCCTCAAATAAAAGTGAAACAAAGTGTGTTGTTTTTATTAAGAAAACAGTCACTTAGATGGCAGTAGACTTTTCTCCCCAAAAACTTCAGGGTCTTCTCTAAGTGAAAGCCATTTCTCAAAAGACCTGGTTAAATACCAGGTTTTGAGGTGGGTTCTTCCTATTAAGCCATGCAGTGTAGAATATAAAGATTTTTAAACAAAAACTCCAAGACACCAGAATGTGTACACATTCTTATCTGCCACCACCTTAAAACACAAGGCCTGCTTTTCACTACAGTCATTTGCTTCTTGTACTTCATTGAGTGTGAGCAGTAAACCTAGACAAGTCTGTTTAGCTCCCCCATTCTTAGGCCAAACCGTTAACATAATTTAGGATTTCCAAAAGCAATACAAATATTTAATCTACAAAGTGTTGAGTTAAAACCATGACTATACATGTGATCACACTTCCATTAATATCAGAACTTAAAGAATTTTAAAAATAAACCAAAATGACATATCTGGAATACATGTTAGCATCCTTTTAAGGCTACATAGGGTCTTGGTTTTCAAACTGCAAATACCAGCATCCTTTAGAGGCGAAACACCCCTCTCTTCCCCAGCCTTAAGTCACTCTGCAATTTAGCAATTTGACTGTCAGGGCAGTATAACGATTATATGTGGGCAGCATCCCATATGACCAACAGAAGTTCAATACAGTACAATGCATTTCCAATATAGCACATGACTGTAGCAGCATACAGACCCCAAGTAATAGTCTCTAGAACTGCCTTGAGAAATCTGGCTGACATCAGGTTAACTAGTATTTGTGAAGAGACTTACTAGTCTTACACTTACTAGCGTGTGTCTCTCTTAACCTCCAGCTTTTCTCCTGCTCTGGAGTTAATGCCTCACAAATGAGGTAATTTTACCTTTATATAGTGTCAAACAAATGCGATTTTTTTTTTCCCCCCTCCTTAAACCTATCCTCAGATGAAATGAATATTCTTAAATTAGAGCCTGAATCAGAGACTCCAAAAAGTAACTTACTTGGTTATCAGCTCACAGTACGGGAAGCCAAGCAAAATGTGTAGTTTAGGACTGACAGCTCAAAATAAATGCAGAGGAAAAAGTTTTTTGACTGTGGATGATTTCTCAATAAAAATAAAGTCATGCCAATTTTATGACTCCAGTAGTCTCTTAGTATCTGAAGCAGCAATAACAAAATCTTCATAGAAGTGTTTGTGGTGGAGGGTCCAAACAATACTCCTGCCCAACTGGTGAACTAAACAGAACCCAGACTCTTAATCGTGACAGTCTTTCTCCAGTGCTGTTGAAAACTGTAACTCACCACCAGTCTATCATTAACTCCAGATACAGGTTAAAAAAAACAAACAAAACACACCATTAACAAAACCTGCTTGAAATGTTTTCTCTCAGGGCTACAGAAAAATTAGCCAAATTCTTTATTCCACTAGTAGTGAAACCGCCCCCCATGGCAATGGTTACATGATCACATTATCTCCAGTCGACTTCAAGTCCATATAAAGTCACATTTATTTAGACTTAACACACATGGTTTCCAGTGATGCTTCTGGTTTAGGCTCCAGCTTCTCTGGGAATTCTAGTTTTTCACAGATTGTCTCCTTTATGGGTAGATACTGAGAGATCTCATTAGGTTCCGTAAACAGGGAAGGTGGAACGTGCTAAGAAGCAAAAATTTTACATGAAACAAGTGAATGAAAGGGCAGGGGGGGAAGGTATTTCAAAACCAAAGTTTTACAGACAATTAATCTATAATTTACCTGATTTAAACACCTGAAGTCAGGTATGATTATTAAAATTTACCTTATAACTTCAAATGTACACACAGTCTTTTACTCCTTGTGTGGATCAACAGGCTAAGGAGAGGTATTTAATGTTTTTAAGCAGCAGATTGGAAGAGTGCAAGAAAGTCAGAGACATCATGAACAGCTACAATGTTTTAAAAAAATATATTTATCATTTGAATATAACAAACAGCCTTTTTGAGGTTCTAGTTCTAGATGAGACTAGAATGGCCACAAGGTATCACATGCTTAATGGTTTGTAGCTATTGCAATATATTAACTGGAGGTGCTCAGATTTACCTATTCATATACCTCAACATGTGTCTTAGTTTTATGAAGTCCACCACAGACATTTATATGAAATAGTAAAACTCATTGGATTTTAATTTCATATTTGAAGAAATTAGGTGGTTTCATTAAGTTAACCAATATCTTTCTTGGAGATTCCTGTAGACAACTTAACTTCACCACATACAAGACATTTGATGACCAAAAAAAAAAAAAAAAAAAAAAAATCTATCCTGAGCAAACCACCTTCAAACTTTCTCACAACATTCTTTGACAGGTGTATCCAGAGCTATTCAAGTGCAACCTGTATTTTGGCTACCCCTAACACACAAGGAATCATACTGCTGTTTCAGTTATTTCAGACCTAAGTGAAGCGGGAATCTTTTTTGCTTTACCTATGCAAGCTGATCTAGGGAACTGAAAAGCCATATGCATTTCCTCTCTATAACAACAGGCAGTAAAAATTATTTAACAGCATAGATAATTTTTATACATGAGGTGAAGTAAAACCTACATCACTGATTTATATTTCAAAACCCATGAAACTTTCAAAAAGCTCATGTCTGGATTTAGTCCTATTGATAGGTATGACATATTGTTAAGAAATGATACAGTGCCCCTTTCCTCAAAAGGAAAAGCATTTTGCAAAAATATTCCCTCAGAAGGTTAATAACACGTTAGTCACTTTTTACAGGTGAAAGAGAAACAAGGGAGATGGAAAGTAACAAGAATACCCAAGATCAGCTGTTGGGTCAAGAATAAAAAATAACAGCTGCAACTCCAAATGTGCCACAAATTATTCTGAGCCATGACTAGAGTTTTAAGGTGGGCTATTAAACTTATTTGAGAAAAACTGAATAAGTCTATTACCAAACAGATCTACTTGCAAGCATACAGCCAGCCCTGAAATTTAGCATAATGGGACACAGGCTACCTGATTTTGTGGTTCAACAGTTCTATGAAAAAATAAAATAAAAAAATCTTGTTAACTCAAAAGTAGAAAAAGTTACCCAATCCCATATCTTGTCATGTGATCTGAGCATTTACAAATGCAAATCTGCCCTGAAATCACCAAAATAAATGTTGCATAAGCAGAAAGGCTTTTCCTCTGTATCAATTCCAAACCTAACAGAACAACTTACACAGTGTTTTCTATGCTGACCATAAAATTATTTCAAAAAGCAGACAGAAAAAAAAGCATTTAAAAAAATGCAATACCTTTAAACTTGATATTTTGCTTTCTCTGGATGTATATTCTCGCAACATGTAGGCCTTGTCAGCCTAATGGGAAAAAAACGGCAAAAATTAATCAGAAATTATTATCTAGTATCAGTGCAAAACAAGCATTTTAAATACATTGAATTTAGTAAGCATTTGAATTTGGTTGATTTTCACTGAGGAGCAGAAACATATGTTCAAGTTCACAAAGACAGAGAAAGATGTTTAGCAATGTTCTCTTTCCCAAAAATCACCTTTCTGCGTGCATGCATGAAAAAAAAAATCTACGACTGAATATGCTTGTTAATCTTTACTCAGCTAGAACTCCTACATCAGTACTAATAGAGCTAGACAGAATAAGCAAACCACAACTGTTATGTTCTGTGTTCTTTATGAGATACTAGAACTCAATGTAGCACAGACGGTTATTTGCAAGTTAGAACTTGCAGTCATATGTTAAGACAAGCTAAAAAACTTTTATTTGGAGACAAGGAAAAGAACACCACCACACCATTTACTGTTGCCTATTTTTCCTCTCGCACTTCCTCTCTAATCTGCGTCTGTCAAATATATTTAAATGATTACTTCACATGAGGGAGAGCCTACTCTGCTCATACAATACCTAGCCCCATGGCATCCAGCACTTGGTTGCTATGTCAGCACCACCAAAATAACAAAATATATTTGAAAGTTCAGTTCAGGTAACCTCTGTGCCCTCAAAACATCAGTATTAAGTTACAGGAATATCAGCAGGTCTTCTCTGAAAGTAACAGGGCAAGGGAGCATCTGTAAAATATTCAAGATGACAAATAAGGGTTTACCTCATGATGAAGCCTTGTATCATTCATCCTGATAAGTACCCCATCAACTCGCAAGAAAAACCTCAACAGCACAAAAAAGCTGGAAGGCATAACTCTCTGCAAAAATAAAGACGTTCCGTTCAGCGTATCACAAAGTTTTACTTTAAATATGCACTCATCTACATCAGATATTCACAACAAAAGATAGTTTGAGGAGCTTTCAGTAGTGAAGTCAAAATTTGGGCTCTTGATACACTAACAGCTATCACTGGACAGCAGGGCAGACAGTGTCTCAAAAGATTCCTAGGCAGGATGCAGAAAGAGGGAAAAGATTGTTCCCTGAAGCAACTGACAGAAAGATTTCAAGACAACATAGTTTCCAGTAAGATTACATTTCTAAGAGTGAGGATAAAGAACTTTGCATTTTAAGCTTTAAATCCCAGAAGGAACAACATGCAAAAAGTGACTGCATTTTGCATACATTAGCCAATTGAGTCACCAAGCGTCTTGTGTACACCTCTTAGTACTCACTATTTTTACACTCAAACTTGATACTCCATGATCGTGAAGTTCATCTTCAAACAGAAGTACTTCTTCAAAAAACATAATTTGTTCCCTGGCTTTCAATTTCTCTGTATTTATGTGTTCTGTTGTAGGAACAACCTAAAGAAAAATATTAAGAACAGTTTGCATATTAATTTGTTGCCAAGCTCCATAAAGTTTGCCCTGATCTTTTAAATCCCACAATTGCTAGTTTTAGAAAGGAAAAAGCTTTTGGGGCACAAAGCTGAAAACATCCCAAATTTCTAAGAGAAAAAATTAAAATTAAAACTAAAGTCTCCAAGAGGAAACATCAACCAAAGCAAGAGTGGTAAATTCTGAATAAACTTCCCTCTGGGTAAAGGCACAGTAGGGTTTCAGCTGCAAACAATTCTGCTCACTTTCTGTATTTCAAACATTTGAAGATGCCTCGTGTTTAATATACTGTCATGGTTTAGCCCGAGCCAGCAACTAAGCACTACGCAGCCGCTCACTCACTCCCCCTACTCCGGTGGGATGGGGGAGAGAATCGGAGGAGTAAGAGTGAGAAACACTCCTGGGTTGAGATAAGAACAGTTTAATAATTGAAAAAAAGTAAAACGGTAATGATAATAATAACAACAATATAATAATGATAACAACAATAATAATATACAAAGCAAGTGATGCACAATGCAATTGCTCACCACCTGCCGACCGATGCCCAGCCAGTTCCCAAGCAGAGGTTGCTGCTCCCCAGCCAACCCCCCCCAGTTTATACACTGAGCATGACGTCATGTGGTATGGAATAGCCCTTTGGGCAGTTTGGGTCAACTATTCTGGCTGTGCCCCCTCCCAGCTTCTTGTGCACCTGGCAGAGCATGGGAAGCTGAAAAGTCCTTAACTAGCATAAGCAGTACTCAGCAACAACTAAAAACATCAGTGTGTTATCAACATTCTGCTCCTACTAAATCCAAAACGCAGCACTGTGCCTGCTACTAGGAAGAAAATTAACTCTATCCCAGCCAAAACCAGGACATACACAAATGAGAAGTTCTGGATTATAAACAAGATTCCATGCATTTAGTATCTCTAGCCCACTACAAACCCTGAACAGGATTCTAATAATGCCTTTCCATGGAAATCAAGTACCTATATGTTTTCCATCTCATGGTCTCCATATACACTCATACACTTCCGCTACCTAAAGACTATGGGCCAACAAGACATTGTTTATTTCTATGCTGCACTTTTAATTCCAGAAAAACTCAAGTGATCCATAACTAATGCAATCCTAGTGAATTAATATAGATTATTGGCTTAGTAGCAAGCAATCTGTATACAGTAAAGAGAAGCTGTGAACTTCAGTCTTATTTTAAAGTAAATAAAGACAAGGGAGGGCCTGTGAGTTTAAATATGAGGAGTTACTGTTGCAGAAAAACATAAAGCCATTGAAAGCAGCCAGATCCACATATCTGCTTACACAAACAGGCAACCAACAGAGAATAAAGGTACTACAGAATTACACGGTTGATAGTTCTGTTGTGTGTGAGGAGCTCAGGGCTTCAGAGGGGCACCCAGCAAGCACTGAAGGTTCCCATGTGCTTTACTCTCTGCGTACGTCCTCACTAAGGGACACAATGGCACCCTTTTATATAATCCTAGAATGCCTTTAAAAAAAAAAAACAAACCACCCAGCTATTAAGATAAGCCATGATTTGATTAGGATAACATGCTGAGAGACATGAAAAACCCAAAATATACTTTGAAGTCAGAAACTATGAAACATGAAAGATTTTACAGAAGCCTACTGAAAGGTAAATGACAGCTTTAAAAAAAAACAACAAACATTTGTGTTTGACTGAAACAATATGCAATCAGCATTTAACAAGGAGAAAATTGTTACCTTTAATGTTGCCGTATCTCCCAGCAATGTTCCTTTGTAGTCTGTTGTGTAAGTCCAATCGTATGGCTTGACAACTTCCTTAGTGTGCTCAGTCTCACTCCTCAAGTGAAAGAGAAAACAGCATGCTTTGTAGTAATTCTTAAAAAATTACAACCTCACATAAGATTATGTATTATAATTCCCACTCTTCAAGAAGAAAAACAGCAGCATTGCCTGTGCTGCAATGAAGATGCCAAAACTTAATCATAGTGTTGCTTCTTTCACAACATCTGTTTCCATAACAAATTAGAAAACCGTTACCAGAATTCCTGTGCTAATACTACCTCAGTCCTATGAATCAAAATAAAGATTTTAGTTCAATGTTGTTGACAAATTTGTATTTCAAGATCATTTTTTTCTTGATGTAGGCAGAAAGCAATCTGCTGATAACACACAGCAATCATTAACACTGCTATTTGCCTTAGTTTTCAAGACTGCTTTGATTTCTCTCTGTGCTTCTTTTCTAGGTGCTCTGCAACTAATTTGGTAAATACTAAGCAGTACAATTAGTTCTCGTGCATGGTAGTTGTTCTGCTATATTCCTAAGGCTATGCTTTTGAACACGTACAGCATTTTGCACTTTAAGATGCCACACAATACAAACTTGTAATGCTCAAGGCCCTATGAGTTTGAGTAAAGAGAAACAGCATTAAGCCATGTTAAACTTGTAGTTCATTTTAAGAAAGCCAAGACACAACTGAAAAATATAGCTGACCCAATTTAACAGACAGGATGATCACAGCAAAGAAAAGCTAAGTGACTTCTGTGATCATACACTGTATCTGTGGTAGAACCAAATGCAACACAGTCTTCAAGAGTTCAGTCTGTTCTTTTAACTACTTTATGACAGTTTCACACACAACACACCAGTACTTGCCCACTGGTGATAAAATACTGTACCTGCTCTCTTGCCACTCCTCTGCACAAGCCACTTTGATCATACCTTGACAATTATTGACACATTTTAAAGCATCTGTTGCATTGAACTCAATTCCAAAACCATGATCGTGCTGTATTCTTAGGATATTGTCTCCAAACATCATCTCTGGCAGGGAAGGCATGTGTAATTCATCAGCCAATCTGCACAGAAAAATAGAAGTCCCATGAAGAGAGATCAGTCAGCTATAGTTCAGTGAAAGCAGTCCTTGTTTTGCAATAAGTATTCTTTAGACCATGGTAATTTAGAACACATATCTTCAATATGTTCTGCAAAACTTTGTTGTTTTTCCAGTTTAACCATTTGACATGAATTGCAGAGTCATTGATCCGAAGTGACTTTTCCACCACCAAAGTATTCCTAAAACATTCCTTCTCCACCAGGCTTGTACAAAACTGCTGGATGTGGGGGGGAACACTGTTACCAAGGACAAGAAAAAGGCTGAGGTACTTAAC